AGTGGTAGAGCACGTTGACCGCTTCACTTATTTGGGAAGTACCATCAGCCCCAACGGGCTGATCTCTGACGAAATCTCAGCACGAATACAAGGGGCTCGTTTCGCATTTGTTAGTTTACGCCGACTCTGGCGTAGACGAGATGTTCGACTATCGACCAAAGGGCGGGTGTACTGCTCATCAGTCCGCTCCGTCCTCCTTTATGGTTGTGAGACCTGGCCACTGAGAGTGGAAGACATGAAAAGACTAGCTGTCTTTGATCATAGGTGCCTGCGTTCTATTTCCCGTGTAAAGTGGCATAATAAGGTGAGCAACATGGAGGTTAGGCGTAGAGTTCTAGGTAAACAGGGGAAATCAATCGACGAAGTCGTGAAGCTACATCGACTGAGATGGTTAGGACATGTGTTACGTATGCCAAGTCATCGCCTCCCTCGACGAGCTATGTTAGCGGATATAGGGTCAGGCTGGAAAAAAGCTAGCGGCGGTCAAACAAAAACTTGGCATCAGTCAATGAAATCCACAACAGTTGGTCTTAGCCACGTAGGAAGGTGTAGACTTCCAGGCTGGGGTCCTCGGGACGGTAAAAATCTATGGTTGGAAACAATTGGTGACATGGCTCAAAATCGTTCTCAGTGGCGCAGATGCATCCACTCCCTGTGACTTATGATCTTCAATGAAACTGTTTTGTATTTCTTTATTACTCCTTTGTCTCACACCTCTGCTCACTGTTTCTATTATGCTTTTCTTGTACTTTCTTCTCTTGCTTCGCGTGCTACACGGAATGTGGCGACTTGAACTTCCGCACATTTGTGCAAAGTTCTATGTCGAAAACAGACAGACAGACACGCCAACGATAGCTTATTGCTATGTGGTCTATTTGTGCACAGCGTTGGTTTGACGAAGGGGGTCTCCAAGTCAAACAGTGTCTCTCTTTGTGTTTGAAGAATTTGGTGCTTACAAGAAACAAATGATTATCTGAGCTGAACTGTAGGAGACGGTCACCGTTGTCGGTTCGCTGGCACGGAACTCCATAGATGCCACCGACATCCTTCTCAGATTGACACAATTTCTCTACTTGAGCATTAAAGTCAACAGCTAGGACGACTATATCTGAGCGTTTAGCCTTTCGCAGCAAACCAGACAGCTTTTGGTAGAACTCATCCTTCGATTCATCCGAACTGCAGTCAGTGGGGGCGTAGGCGGAGATTACGAAAAGGCGTCGGCGAGTAGTGCAGTCCTTTCTCCTTTTTACTGACCCGTTCATACGGACATCACACATTCGGCTATCTACTGGGATCCAGTCAAGCAGTGTCTTTTCTGCCCTAGTACTCAAAGCTATCCCTACACCAGCTAATCCTCTTGAGCTAGCTGTGGCATCTCCTGACACCCTCAAGGTGAATTTTGCAGATTTAACGTGTTGGCAAGGTGGGGTTAGGTGAATAACCACACATGGGTCTTGTATGCGTGTTTCTGAAACACAACATACATCAATGGCTCGTGATGCCAGGGTCTTAGCTAGTGATGCTTGTTGTCCTATTTGGCAAAGTGTCCTAACATTAAGAGCTCCTATATGAAATTGGTGGCGTGACTTTAGGAGGCTATCGGTGGTGGTTTTTTGGCTTCCATCGTTTTTAGTGGACGCAGAGTGGAGAGGAAGTGGAGAGCTATCAAGTCGAAAAGTTGCATCAGTGGAAGGAAGGCAAGATGATAGTGATGAAGATAAAGACAAAGATGAGTGAGGATTAGAGAGGTTTCGCGTGCGTTTCGGATTGTGAGGGCGATTGTTACTTCCCGGCTGCCCACACCGTGGAAGTTGGTTGCGTGACCGCAGAGCCCAGGGGACAACTGCTTGAGGCCGGTCACACGCGGCCTGTTTTTGTTAGTTCTCTTTTGTTTGGTGTGCCTCAGTAGCATACTTATCACTCCTGCCCTGTGACACGGCAGCAGGAAGCGCGGTCGTTGTTAATCCGGGCCACGGCCGATCTGGCATGAAATTTTGTGATTTTGTATTGGACATGATGTTGGATTGGGTAGCTGCTTTTTGTTTAACCGCTATCCAAACAACCTTTCTGGCATGGTAGGACCTCAAGAGACATAAGTCTCATCCAGTATAGCTTGATTAGGTCATTGTGGTGTTCAAGCCTGACCACCACGTCAAGGTAGCAGATTTCGGTCGGGTTTCTGCGAGTCCCTGGAACTCCTGGATGAACACCGGTCCATTCTGGCTGGCAGCGAATACAAGAAAATCGAAAGGCGCTTACGCGGAAGATAAGACAGTGTTTACGTAAGGACCGCGAAGCCTGGTGGTCAGAACGTGTGTGTAAGATGGAGTCAGCTGCTGCATGGGCTACAGTCGGAAGCTTTTCCAACTCATCCGAACCACCGGCAGCAAGAAACAAGGTGTCAGCGAGACGGTCTGTGAAGCAGATGGCACGCCAATTACCAACCTGAAAAGACGCCTGGAAGGCTGGGCAGAGCAGAGCACTTCGGGAAACAGTTTAGCTGTTCACCAGCTCCAATGTCTACTGTCGTTAGCCCCAGTGCTCCTTGGTCGGTTAGTACCGACCCACCAACCGAAGCGGAGGTCCGTAAGGAACTCCAAGTACGAAGACGCCATTAGGCACCTAGGTCAGACAATATGCCCCGGGCTCTTTTTAAAGTTAGTGAAGAGACTGTCGTCATGACTTTAACTGATCATTTAGGAATGTATGGGAGATTGGGGATGGACCATCAGTGTGGAATGAAGCCATTAGCGTCCCCATCTTTAAAGAGGTTGAATGTATGACATGGGACAACCTCAGGGATATCAGTCTGCCACCGGTTGCGTCTAAAATATTGACTGTCTTGCTTCGTAGGCTTTGCGAAACGCATGAGGGATTGATTGGCGAAGAGCAGACTGGGTTTTGTTCAGGCCGTCGATGCACTGATCATATGTTCACCCTTCGTAAGTTGTTGGAACACCGCCACACGTATTGCAGGCCAACGATCGTTGTGTTTCTTGACATTAGGACTGTCTTCGATTCGTTGGACAGAACTGTGCTCTAGAGCTGTCTCCTAGAGATTGGTGTACCTGGGAAGTTTGTAAACAATTCAGGTACAGTGAGGGCATACAACTAATTATAATTCATGTCACCAACCAACAGTGGGGTTAGGCAGGGTTGCCCAATCTCCATTTATCTTTAACTCTGCCATCGATGACATTCTGGAGTCCGCCCTGAAGGAGTTGTGTGAAGACGATGTATATCTGCTCCCTGGAGATAGACTTTTCGACCTCGAGTTTTCAGACGATATCGTCTTACTGTGCGATAACATGTAGGCTGCCCAAATCGCACTTAATCAGTTGGCGATCAGTGTCTGTAAGTAACTGCAAAGTACTGGTACACGATTGGCAGGAGCCTGTACCTGCAGGTGAACCACTTGAAGTTGTTGATAAGTCTGTGTACATGGGTAGTTGTGTGAGTGCTGGCGGAGGGGTGACGGATGAGATTTCCAACCGTATCATGAAGGCTATGGTGGCATACATTAACTAGAGCCACCTCTGGTGCCGTCACGACCTTAGCCTGGCTGTCAAAGTTCGGGTTTACAATGCTTCGATGCGGCTGTCTAGTTCTACGCCTGTGAAACCTGGCCTCTCCGAGCTGAGGATGTTCGGCGGCTATGCGTATTCTATCATCGCTGTCTCCGCAGGATTGCTTGCATTCGATGGCATCACCTGAGTAATTCTGAGGTTCGGAGGCGTGTGTTGAGACACGGCTGAGATCACCATTGGTTGAGTGTTGTCATCTGGAAATACCGGCTTCAGTGGCTTGTACATGTGCTGCGAATGTCATCCTAGAGGCATTTGTACAGTTCTCTGTTCTCTAGCCCTGTAACGGGATGGAAAAAGCGGAGAGATAGTGGGCCCATTATGTGGCGTCGTGGGATGAAGACATTTATATTGGGTTAGCATTGGTTTGCGCATCACGACTCCCTGGTTGGGGTCCGAGAGATAGCTCGAATCAGTGGCTCGAAACGTTATTGGATATGACCAAGAATCGCGATCAATGGCGAACGTGCTGCAATTTTCTTCTTTCTTTCCTTTCTGACTATAATTGACGAATGCTTTTTGAACTTGTTAAATATGACTGTTTTCCTTCCAGATGAATTTATTTATCCGTTGTCTGCCTTTATTTTTTAAACTTATATTCTATCTTTTATTATTATTATTATTGTGTGGCGCATCTTCTTGGTGGCATATTGCACTGAGTTTATTTGTTTGAATAACAAAAATAAGATGTTCCACGAGACAATTAACAACATTCCGCTATTCATTACTTTGCTAGGATCATTAATTTCCTCTGATGATTGGGTAATCATGTGTAAAATATAATTGTACCATTCATTAATTTCTTTCACTATCATATTGCAAAGTAATTACTGTCTGGATTTATTATGCATCTATTCACACACTAAACTGAACACTATGGACACATTACAATACATGGCAAATACAGTAGTATGGAAGTAAGATAAAAAAATTAGTAAAGGTTAAGAAAATTAAGTTAGAGTGTTGAGACGACTATTGTATTGAAAGGTACATTTCATGTTTATGAACGCTGACGACTGATTCGGTATAATTTGTTTTGTCTTTGTACACTACCGTGACACCTTATGTATACTACGGGATCGTATAGAAGTTCGGCTATCTGCGATCATGGTAAACACTTTTTTCTGTTAATATCTAACAGTGGTGTGAAGTATTTGTTTTTCGCATTGTCGCTGTGTATCTTGCTTCGAGTTTCAGACTCTTGGGAGTAGAAGTATGAGACTGTTGTAAGTACGCGGCCCCCGTGTGTTGCTGGTCAGTTGTTGAAATTATACATACATGTTACATGGTTCCCTTTCTCCGTTCATAAATTTACTTTCTATGATTTGTCAGCTAGTTGTTACCTTTGTTTGTTTTCTCGTTAATAACAAAACCGTCATATTTTTCCTTTTCTTACTGGATTTTTTTATCATATAGGGTAGTATTCCTATTGGTGCAGCAAATCAAGCACTTGGAAAGTATTTACTGCAGTATTCTTCTTATTTATCCACTATGCCTGTACGTTGTACAAAGTGTCTTTCAATTAAGCCATTACGTGCTCATCACTGTCGGTAAGTAAACGTTTTGCTATACAATATACACTAACAATTTTAACCGAATTGGCTTATTTTGATTGGTTCATGAAAACAATTATTGAAATTAAGCGTATTATATTCATACAAAAGTACAGTAAATTTTACTGTGAAATTTTCGAGTCAGTAGAGTATAAAGATTTCTGTTGAAGTAGTCTATTTAGTCATTTCTATAAAGTGTGCTTACAAGGTGACACAGAATTGTCCATTTGAAAGCTCCTTCAACTTCATTATTTGGTTATCACACACACACACACACAGTCACTTAGCGCTGTTCATAGATGCTAATTAGTTTAAATGATCATACGTGAAAAGTGTACATATAAAATAAAAGAACAGAAATGCGAAACAATACAATGGACAAAATGTGTTTGTAAAAGAATAATTCAATAAAAAGGTGCTGCAGATTTTTTTCAATTTGGAAGATGATAAAAGATAAATGTATGCGTGCACTGTTTGAAGCCACATTAACAAGAGTTATCGTGCATTGATTTCCGGTTTCCATGATACACAAACAGTTTAAACCTTTCAAACTAATAGTCAGTGGCTTCATAGATTAATGACAGGTTGTGGAATGACCATCACTAATTTTTTTTCAACTTAATTCAAACTCAGTTAACACTGCTCGTTGATAGAGGCTGCACCTCAATATGTGTTACCTAACGGCACAGATGACCACTGTGTCGATTCATGTATGCTTGAAAATCTGTAATTGCTACGTACCTTCTTTTAACAGCCATATCTTACTCAAGTAAAGTGGGGGACAATGAACTACTGTTATTAACTCTAATAAAATGATGAATTCATATCAGAAATAAATCTGGTTTAGCTCCTTAGTAGTCTAAATTAGCGTATATATATATATATATATATATATATATATATATATATATCATTGTCGCAAAAATTACTGACTTATGATTCTGGTGTACCGCTTCTGTCAACAATTTATTGTTTTTAACGTCCCCTAACAGAGACTGTTGGCTCTTTTCAAAGTCGTTGATAGTGATTATCATTGGTATTCTGTGACTGATATGATTTATCTTGGTGATTAAACTTCAAGTGTGATTCAAGGTTATATGGCTACTTTTACACTATCCAGGTAACAAGTTACTTTGGTAAATATGTAAAACTTGGGCACTGTGGTAGTAAATAATTCCATATTAGTTTGTTTATTGGATGTATCACACAGTGAAACAGTATTATTTACTGGATGACGTTTCGAACAAAATTCATTGTTCATAATCAGATCAATTATAAACAAACGACTTCGAAACTTGAGTTTTATAGTTTTCTTTATTCTCTCCTATATTTTGTTCGAAACGTCATCCAGTAAATAATACTGTTTCACTGTGTGATACATCTAATAAACAAATCAATATGATATTGCTTTAGCTTTGGTTAGTGCAGTAAGAGTTCACGAACAGGTAGAGTTATCGGGGACCTGTTATTTAAATGTGGATATAGCCCTCTAAAAGTCACATTTATTTCGTATTATCAACATTTTGCTATTTTTTAAAAATCTGACTGCATCTGGGTGTACATATCATCACATCCTTTGATAAACCATGCAAGTTATTTTAAAGTTTGCCTTGTGATAACTTAATGATTTGATGGTGCATTTTCCATTCCATTTGGGGAGCCACCTTTAAACTTTTTTGTCGATTTTATTTGGGATCTGGTATTTCAAATGGATTACTTGACTTGTAAACAACAGCCACAAGTACAGGAGACTCATCGTGGGATAATACAATTTAGCTATGGTAACTTGCTTATTGTGCTAATCAGTGTATTAGCATTTTTTATGCTTTTCCATTGCCTAGTCTGAAGTAAGCGGATTACGATTCTAACTTGGGACTTATTGTTTCGAAGTTAAACGTCTAGTTGAGGGAGGTGAACTTCAATTATTGCTGATGAAATAAACAACAAATGTTTGTTCCTAGCTTTCGGTCAATTAATCGGTTATAGTGATATACACAAGAACATTATTGGTGCTTTGTCATTTACGTATATTTCCCAGAAAAGGGATGTGAGGCATTATATTACATGATATTTTTTTTACAACTATCCAACTCAAAGCACTTTTTCATGGAGCGATAGATTTTGAGCACTGAAAGACTTGAGTACTTATAGATTGTATGCATGAAACATGAATTTAACGATCAGCTAAAGTCAAAATAAACATGTGAGCATGATTTGTCGGCTCAATGTATCTATTTCTGAATTTGTTTTGTAACACCAATGTTCATCTATTATTACAATAGATCTAACTTTTCATAAAAGTATACTAACTACGGCTGTTGAGGTGAATTTTAAATTCGCCTTCATTTTGTGAATAAGTTGTAGATTGTAAATTCAAGCTCCATATCATTTGGTAGTTAAATACTCTAAATAGCCTTTAGGTACACAACTATTTGATGGTACGCTTTACTGATTGTTCTTATTCTTCTGTCTATCACATGATATTCTTTTTGACACGTTCATATTGTTTTTGAATTAATCTGTCTATGTGACTAGCTATTTATTGTATTTACTGTGCAGAGAAATATTTTCACACCTGGTCCAATTTTCTCCTTGAAACAAATCGTCACTGACTTCACATTATAGTTACACCGGGTTTCCGCGTTGTGACATTATAAACATGCTGAAGCGTGATTCATTTCATTTGTTTTTATTGTTTTCGGTAATTGTTAAATTTAGTTTATATTTAAATGCTCTTATTAACTGGATCAAACTTCGCTTTTGTTCCTGTATATTGTATTTGTGCTGGCTTATCTTCACATAAGTTGCTATTTTACACAGTGTCGTAAGGACTATTCTATCTGCATTACAATGCCTCATTACTGTAACCTTTAAAATTTTGTTAATTGCCTAACTTGAGACAGACCCTGTCTGTTGATGAACTAATCCATTTGAGTATGCTGATAATAACGACTAAAATGACAATTTCAACTAGTGCACTTCTCTACAAACTTTAACATTGATCTCCTCCTGCTGGACATGTGGTAAGGAACAACTTATTAAACATTTTTCACCTAAAGGTAGAGTTTTGGATAAGAAAGGTAGTTAATCGCTGAAGTGGTGAAGCGTCATTGACTGAGGTCCCTACAAGCAGCACATTCATAGATAAAAAACAGGAAGTGCCATATTTTCCTTCAGAACAATATGACAGCTTTTCATGAGACAATCATATATATATATATATATATATATATATATATATATATATATATTATACATACGCTAATTTGAAGTACTAAGCAGTTAAACAAGATTCATTTATGATATTATTTATTTGTCATTCTAGTATAACAGATGTTACTGAAAGGCTGTGCCAACAACAGTAGTTCATTATATCTCATTTTACTTGAGTGAGATATAGCTGCCGAAAGAAAAAGGTATTAAAAGGTTAAAGACTTTTGAATATACATGAATCAACAGGATAAGTAACACCATCGTCAGCTTTGGCATTAGGTAATGAAGAAAACTCAATTTTTAGCAATTATATTTGCCAATAAATTCATTGTATCTGATAAATTTCGAATTGAATACAATTTGACAAAAGTAATGTAAGGCGTCGGTGGCACAGCGGTTAGGACGCTCGCCGACCATGCATATGGTCCGGGGTTCGATACTCGGCCGACGCACTCTTTACCTCTCTATGCCAGAAATAATGCTGGTAAGGAGGAAAGGTTGGGCATGAGGCTAGCAACCCCATCCTGAAAAATAAACACTGCTACAGAAACTTCAAGCCAGTGGCTTGAAGCCCTATGTTCCACTGGTAACGTGAAGGAAAAATTATTATTAATTATTAATGTGAATAAGGTAGTGATTAGATTATAAGGAAATAATCTTTAGCGAAGATGTTAAGTTTAACACAGGCTGACTAATTATTATCTGATATGGGATATAAAACTTTCCATAGGAGAAATAAAGCGACCGAAATGCTCAATACATGTCCAGTTATTTTGACGAGCTTTCATTTTTTCTACCCTCTTGTTCCTTCTTACCTCTCTGTTTCTCTCGATCTTGGCCTTTACAAAGGTATTCAAGTAAAAAAAACTAATCTATTGCTCAGCGCTGAAGTAGATTTATAGGGGTTATGTTAAGTTCTAGTGTGTTGACAGAACTAAACGGTATAATCCTACAACTTACTTCATTGGGAGTTCAATGCACCTAGTTGGTTTGAAAAATCTTTAACGAAGTTTTCAATGTGAGACAATTTTTTCACTGGACCACTTTGTTATGGTGATCTATTTACCTTCCATTAATATTGAGATATTACAGTATATTAAGTGATTCGTGTAGATAGCTCAGCTCTAAACTAAGACAGGGATTTTTCAGACAGTATAGTTGAACGACGTGTCAAAAAATAGAATTAAAGCCTTTGTTTGGACAATAGTGACTAGTGTGATGTGTCTAGTCCTTTCTTTGGTGCAGACTGAATCCCATCAGTCAGGTTTTGCTATGTGGCCGCCATCCTAGGTACTAAGTTGGGAATTGTCTTTTCTGTTTGATCATAGGTATGATACATTGACGTATTTCCTGTTGTGCTTCCTCATTTAATTTTGACGATTTGAGTGGTGATTCTAGGGAGACACAGAAATTTGTTATTGAAGCGTCACTAGTATTGTAGTTCAGTCTTTTCTGAAAAAGTTGTCCTTCTGTTTTCGTTAGTGGTTGTTTTGATAGATTTGCTACGCAATGATTTAGAGTTTCTGCAGATGGTTATTTGGCTATCTTAACTAGTTTTCCTTTGTGGACCACTCGTCTTCGTTCCTTGTGTCGTTCGCTTAATATTTTAATGGGAGTATTCATTGTTGACAGATGTTCTGGAGTGAGAGTCTGTTCAACCTTTTCTTTTTGACAGTTAATCATATACTGGTATTTTTTGATCATATTGTGTGCATCGGTGATCATTAATTTCACCATTTGTTTTCCATGTTTTATTTACAATGTGACCACCATCTGACTGATAG